TCAGTCTTTTCAAACAAAGTATGGTAAGTATTCTTGCTTTGCTCAATTATGACCTGATTTTAAGTCTTTATACTTGCAATTTTCAAAAGGCACCCACACAAGCTGCTCTTTTAAGCTTTATGGATGACCATTGTGTCATTGATCGTATTTGTGTCAAATTCATGTCAAAATTTAAAGTCTTTATTTTAGATTCATGTTAGAACTTTTTTTAATATTAATCTGACCTGTTAAACTAATGATATAAAACACCTTGGCATTAGTTAGACTTATAAATGTTTCAGCCAAACTACACCCCTCTTAACATGATTAATATGCTTATTATTTATATAATCATGACTTGTTTATTATGTATACAACTTGTTTAACCCATTAACAAGAATAAATACATATTTCATCTACTTCTATGGTGACAACTTCCATAAAAATGACTCAAAAAAATTATGAATAATCCACAAACGTCACAATTGAAAAAAACACACAAGTAGTCAAATAGATAAGTCGCAATCTCTATAAAATTATAAATAGCTAGATAAATATTCTAAACCAGTTTAACTTCCAATAATAATAATAATAATAGAAGAGTAAAAAATACATCCAAAAATAAAAATAACCGCAACATGAACTCCCAACTGACTCCAAAAATTGCCTTCAAATGAGTTAGCCATGTCAAATTCAAGTTATGGGAGTTTGACACTAATTTAACCTTCTTCTTTTTTTCATGTTATCATGTCATGTCGTTTTCAAGTTTGATCGATTACTAGTCAATCCTAATCCGTTAGCTTTGTATTTCAGTTTGTACCATATTATGTTATACAAAAACTGTTATATAAATTTTCCTAGTAATTGATGTGTGATACAACTATGGTATTTGAAATGAGATCCAATACAATAATGTTATAGACTTTTTTTAAATTGAAAAAAATAAAGTATATTGATATAAAGTAAAGTAAATTTATGTAACAAAAGTCTACGAAAATTGCAAGGTTTACGCTCCATTTGTTTCGACGAAAAACAATTTTTGAAAAAAGTTTTTTTTCGAAAACATTTTATATAGGAAACTTTTTCTAGAAAATGTTTTCCGTACAAAACATTTTCTTATATTTGGTCGCATTCTTAAAATTAATGTATTAATAGTTGCATTAGTGGTAATGCAAGTGGCGGCAGCAAGATAGAAGTAGAGGTGGAGGTGGAGGTGGAGGTGGAGGTGGAGGTGTCAGGGTAGTGTAATGGTGGCAGTAATAGGGAGGTAGCAGTGCCAATGATAGCGGTGCAACGGAACTGCTGATGGTGGTAGTGGCACTGGTTGTAGGGGGCTGGGGTCAGGGTGGAAGTGGAGATGGCAATGGCGACTATCGTGATGTTGGTTGTGATTGTGGCAGTGGTCGTGTAGTGGTAGAGATGATGGTAGTGGAGGTAATGGTGGTGGTGGTAATGTGGTGGCATCGATAAAAGTTTGGTTTGGAAAACGTTTTCCACCTTTTAAAAAATAAAATATACTTTTCGCCTAAGTGGGCTTCTTTTCCGTTGACTATAGAAAAATATTTTCCATTGAATTTTATTTTCTGTTGTACCAAACACCAAAAAATACAAAAAAAATATTTTCTAAAAAATATTTTCCGTCCAAACAAACGGAACATTAGTGTTGCCATCAATTGATTGGCATCCTTGGCATCATGTGGTAATGGATATGTTGGATAAAATCTTATACGTACTGTGTGAAACAAATAAATAATTGTGCTAAATACATTATCAAATTATATACAAAATATAACTTGAAACAATGTAATTTATTTGGATAAAATCAAATTAAAACATATACAGAGGATCAAGAAACTTACAAACAAATGATATAAATTTGGAACAAAAAATAATTTGATCGAAACTTGTGTTAGACACAATGTCTTTAAGACAAATATAGTCCATTAGGAAAACTACTTATATATACCCCCAAATTAATATTCTAACTCTTGAATTTGAATTTTTCTTGTCATAATTAGCAGACAACTCTGCTTCTCTCCTCTATATTTGTGATAATACATAAATTAACACCAAAAAAATGACACATTTTCGAGTAAGTGTCACTATTACAACTAATATTTCATATTGATAAATTCGTCTTTTATTCATTCAAAAAATATTTCTGACAAAAGAAAAAAATTTAAATTATCTCTTCAATCCAAGAGATAAATCTCACATGAGTAACTATTTACTCTTACTTATGATTATTGTTTAGTGCAACAAAAACCCTATATATCTATGACATAATTGAATACTCACTAAAATATATAAACAAACTCCACTTCACAAATTTCATAATTATAACTTGACGTACTACATCACAGTACTCAAAACCACTTTATGAATATTCAATTCAACTTTCAAAATGATTATTAACAAAATAATAATCAACACATTTGCATGATTATCAAAAAATTTCTCTATCCATTTCAAATTAAATGGAATTTAAATTATCATATTTAAACTTCTGTTATACCAAGATACTACTACAACTAAACGAAAAGTCATTTACGTATGAAATATACTTTTTCATATAATACTTCAAAAGAGATCCATTGCCAGTAGCATGGATTTCATAATCACCTTCAAAAATTAATCAAAACAAAAACAAAAACAAAAACAAAAACAAAAGCAAAAAAAGAAAAACTCTAATTTCAAAATTCATATGCCCATATAAATATTAACAGAACAATAATTTAACATCACTACAAGAATCTGCACTTTTAGCGACCACTTTCCGCGACCAATATAAAAGTTGGTAGCTAAAAGTTACCTTTTGGCGACCAAATATTAATTAGTCGTGAATGATCATTATTTTTGGCAACCAAATATGATTTGGTCGCAAAAGGTCATATTTTGGCGACCAAAAATGAGTTGGTCGCAGAAAGTGGTATGGTTTTGGCGACCAACTACAAATTTGTTCGCAGAAGGTCACATTTTGGCAACCAAAAAATAAGTTGGTAGCGGAAGATCAAAAATAAGTTGGTTGTGGAATTGGCGACCAAAAGTTTGGTCAGCAAAAACTTATTTTTAGCGACAAAAAATATTTTAGTCGACGTATATTGAGTTTTGGCTACTAAAACAATGTAGTCACCGAATGGAAAATAAAAAATTATTTTTTATCTTTTGGCGACCAAAAATGGTCGCCAAAAAATTTATTTTTAGCGACTAAAGTTTTGGCTACTAAAACAATGTAGTCGCCGAATGGAAAATAAAAAATTATTTTTTATCTTTTAGCGACCAAAATTTTGATCGCCAAAAAACTTATTTTTAGCGACTAAAAATATTTTAGTCGCCGTATATTGAGTTTTGGTTACTAAAACAATGTAGTCGCCGAATAGAAAATAAAAAATTATTTTTTATCTTTTGGCGACCAAAATTTTTATCGCCAAAAAATTTATTTTTAGCGACTAAAAGTATTTTAGTCACCGTATATTGAGTTTTGGCTACTAAACCAATTTAGTCGCCATATGAAAAATAAAAAATATTTTTTATCTTTTGGCGACCAAAAATTTGGTCGCCAAAAACTTATTTTCAGCAACCAAAAAAAATTTAGTCGCCAAATTAGTACTTTTAGCGACTAATATTTTAGTCGCCGTTGATTGAGATTTGGCGACTAAAAAAGTTTGTCGGCGAAGGTACCTTTTCTGCGACTAATCTAGTCTTTTGGTTGCCAAAAGTTTGGGAGGGAAATTTGAAATGTGGGGGCGGAAATTGAAATTTTTTTGCGACAAAAAAAATTTCGTCGCCAATTGTTAAACGACGTCACTCGTTTTTTTTTTTTTTTGTTTTTGTCTTTTATGAGTTTTAAATTTTTTTTACAAAAAGAATCAAATGTTTATATTATACCTAACTAAACAAAAATTTAAAATTTAAATATATATATAATTCACTCCACTATTAAAAAAATAAAAATCACTTGAGATTATTGTTTGAAAAAAATAATTACTTAAAAATTATTTTTTTTGGGATCATCAGACCACTTGGTCTCTCTCTCTCTCTCTCTCTCTCTCTCTCTACATCCCTTTCATTCTCTCATCTCTCCTTCATTTGTGCTCTCCCGATCTAGAAGCTTCTCATCACTGACCCCCTCACTCTCTCTCATCAACAATGGTGAGAGTCTCTCTCTCTCTCTCTCTCTCTCTCTCTCCATTATTCTCTTTGATGAAAAAGGAACTATCAGCAAGGGTCTCTTCTCGTCGTCGATCGCTCTCTCATAGTTGACATCCTACCGTCCCTCTTTCTCTCCATCTCTTTCATCTCTCTCTGGTGAATATCAGTTGACGAGGATCTAACAACACATCAGTTGTCGATCAAGAATTGAAATTTTTAATATTTTGAGTCTTTGGTGAGGAATTATTTTGTCACTAATTTTGGAGAGAGAATTTTGACATATTGGGCAATAATGAAAAAAAATTGACTACTAATTTTTCCCCCTTTTTTGTTTTTATCAGTTTTCCTCTTCTCTCTCTCTCTCTCTCTCTCTCTCTCAAAACAAAACAAAACACAAGTTAGCTCTCTTTGTTTAGCACCCCTTGTCCTCCTAATTTTCATTGCTAAATAAGATTAATTTGTGACAAATTATAAATTTTGTCACATATAATTAAAAAAAAAGAAAATTAAAAGGTAAGGAAATTTATTTTCGTCAATAAATACTTCTTTTTAGGTAAGAAAAAATTAAGTTTCATCATAAAAAAATTTTTGTCTAAATTTGTTCAGATGGTGCTAAAATTTTGAGACTTTTAGTGAGGAAAAAATTTGTCACAAATTATAAAATTATTAGTGAGGAATATATTTTCGTCACCAATGAGTCTAAATATTTTGATATCATTTGGTGAGGAGTATGTTTTCATGGCCTATAGTTTTTAATATTTTGAGATCTTTTGGTGGAAAAATTATTTTGTCACAAATTTTAGAGGGAGAATTTTGAAATATTGAGCAGGTAATGAAAAAAAATTGGCTACTAATTTTCCCCCCTTTTTTGTGTTTTTATTAGTTTTCCTCTCATTTCTTTCTCTAAAAACACACTCCCTCTTCAGATCCTCCTCACTATCCACTGTGCAAACCACTCCGTCAAGTCCCTCGACGAGTGGCAACTCGAGCGCTACCTCACCGACTTCCTCAAATCCTCCTTCTCCCTCACCGTTCCCGAAGACGACATCGTCGTTCGCAGATTCAAGGACCTCAAGAAGCGCAAGCGCGATGATCCTGTCGCTCACAACACTCTCTTCATCTGTGACCTAGGGTTTCTATCCAAGTTTTCCAGATCGGAAATTCTTCATGGTATAGATGGAGAAGACAATGTTAAGGAACTCGAGAAGAAGTTTCTGGACTGGAGAAGATCGGTTGTTGGTAAGACCGACGGGATTGAGTTGAATCTTGAAGGTGTTAAGTTTAGATTGACTGCTTTAGTTCCGGAATCAGATGATTTTGGAATGACGAAAGAGTGGGAAGAGCTTAATGCGTTTGGTAATCGAGGTTTGTTCTTGATTCTATCCATAGTTTTGAATTTTTGATGCTTACTGGTCTTGCTGTCTACAATAATGGATTCAGTAATCTAACTCAATATTTTTTCTTCTAAATGCTTAATAATTTTGCGAGAACTACTGGTAATAATGGATGTATGTATGTGTTGTTTGGTTGTAGGATATTCAAGACGTGGGAGGCAGCGGCAGCCTAATACAATTGTGTTGAAAGGTGTTCTATCTCACTGGTTTGTTGAGCCAAGAGTTTCGTCTTAGCCTTCAATGCTGGTCACTCACACGATTTTTTCTGCATTTGGGAAGACAAGGTGTGGGTTAATGTCATGGTTTCTGCTATTTTTCTGTTTCCCTGATGCATTGCAATTCCATAATATTATTCTTGTTGAATTTGTTTGGTGGTTGTGTTTTTTTGAGGCTTCTGACATTGAGTTTTGTTTTTATGCTCCAATGTATTATCTTGAATATGGTTGTATTGAAATTTCTTAATTTACTTGTCATCTCATTAATTTGACGAAACCATTTCCTCTTGAAACTTCTCATGATTGAAGATTTTAGATAGTAACAAACATTTGGGGTCTCAATGTTCCTAGTTCGGGTATTGTTGGTGAACAATTCATTGAGAAGATTCGTAGGGTAAGAGGTATGATTTAGATATTGGATCTGCATTTTTTTTGATTAATCTGTTTGAGGGAAATCTCGTTTCTTGCTATTTTAATATTTTAAAAAGACATCCTTTAGAAACAACCAAAAGAAAAAATGGAAAAAAGGGGCATGTAAAATTGATGGCATAGTTAATAGTTCATGTTGACCCTTCTGTTTCCCTTTTTTTATTTTTTATTTTTGCTTTTACTTTCCTTTACAAGCATGCCCAGGGAGAGGGCTTTAGCAAATTATTTGTCAACCCATGCCTCAGTTGGTAGCATGCCCATGGAGTGTTTTATCATGGCTGTCAGTGGTGGAACATTTGGTCCTGGTCCTTGTTGAACAAGATGACAAGGAGACACTTTTTTCCTAATATCATTGGATGGCTTAACAGTATTTGCTCAGAAAATAGGGTGGGTGTGGGAGTGGATGTGTCCATAAAATTGCCTACGAAACTTTTTTTTTCATTTTTTACAACCTTTTGCTGCCAATGAGTTAAGAATTTCATAAGTTAGGTTTTTTTTACTAATAATAGAAGACACATTATAGAGTCTGTAGTCCAAAGGCGACATATTGTGGAAACAATTTGGCTTTCTTAAACTTCTATTGCTACTATCTGTGGATTGAATATTTTACATTTCTTAAGCTTCCATGTGCTTGCACTTGCACATAACCTTGATAGCTTTTACACATTACACACTACTACACCATTAGTTGGATGTGTTTGTTTGGGGATTATAAACTTGACTACTGATCAGAAGAGGGGGTTTTTTTTTTCTTCTGAAATGTATCAGATAAATTGGTTCTTTGGTTGATTAGGTGACATGTCATATTGGTTTCCATCCTCCTGAGCTCTTCATAGAATCAATGTTTGTCATGTGGGCCTCTTTGGAGCCTCATTTTCAATGCCTTACTTTTTATATTTCGCTGGAATTTCCTTGCAGAAAAGCAAGGAGAGGAGAATAAATTTCTCTACATGCATCGAAAGTAGATTGCTATTTTAGAGAAAAAGATTTGGTTACTTAGTCCCATATTTAGATGTTAAAGTCATAGTTGACACTTGGGTACCATTTTGAAGCTGTGACATTACTTGGGGCAGGATAATTATCTGGTAAGTTTGCCTACCACTTGGCCGTATGTTTGCGGATCCTATATGTCTGACCTATAAGATAATTTCTTCTTGGGGGCAGGTTGTGATAGTTACTGGGGCCAACATCTTTGCTTGGGCTTTTTGGCTGACTGTCAAGTTAATTAATCTTACTTGTGTCTCGGCATCGGTTACAAGGACTTGGGTGTTAATGTATTTCATATAGCATATCAAGCATAACATAGGACCTTGGGGGTTACTTTTTTATTTAGAACAAAAAAAGTTCAATGCCATTAAAGCTTCTAGACAATTTTCCCATTTCTTGTCAATTCTAGTGTTGTCATTAAGATGGGAACTCCATGATAGCTAGGAAAAAATACAAAACTATCGAGTACAGTGCTATCATTATGGGGAAGTCAAGAAGATCTTGTGGATGCTTGTAGACATGTAGTGATAGATGAATATGGTGAGTGTTGCTATTTTGGGCGTGAAAACAGATTGGAGGTTGATGTCAACTTGTTTGCAGTCTGTTGTAGAAAATTCTCCATATAATATTTTCCATTTACAAAAACAGTTAATGATAGCATTGGATGTTAACCTGATCTGCTCTTTTCTTTTCTTTTTTTTAAATGATCATTTTGATTCATTGATCTTAACTTGTGTTTTTGTTTGTTTTGGTACTAATAGGTTATTGAGCAAGTTGAAGTTGAGTGTGTAGCAGAAAAGGCTGAATTTGATGGTCATTTGGATGAGGAGTTTAGGAAGGTCTTTGAGAAATTCAATTTTAAGCTGATATGTTAGTTTGGATTAGCTGCCAAACCAGTTGATATGTTAAATGAAATTTTCATCTTTATTTTAAATGGAATTCAATTATTGTTTGATGATTTAGTGAAGTTACAAGAAAGGAAATTTGTTAATTATTCTTCCTAAGCATTTTCTTTTTTAAATGCTATTGTTCCTTAATTGTGGTTGGGATGAATGAATTTTGTTCGATATTGGATTGAATGTTTATAAACAAAAATTGAATGTTCTCAAAAAAAAAAAAAAGATTTGGCGATTAAAAAATTGGTCGGCAAATTCCACACTTTTGCAACTAAAATCATTGGTTGGCAATTCCGTACCTTTTGGCGACTAAATTGTTAGTCGGCAATTCCTCGACTTTTGGCGACTAATCTGTTTGGTGGTGGAATGTGACAATTGGCGACTAAAATTTTTGGTCGAGAAAATATCACTTTTCGTGACCAAAGTGTTTTACCGACAAAATGGATTAGTCGCAACAATGATATATTTAGCAACCAAAATTTTAGTCGGCAAATTCAACTTTTCCCGACCAACAAAAATTTTGTTCGCGAATTACTTTTGCCGACCCTCAATTGGTGACCAAAGTAGCGACCAAAAAAATTAGTCGCGGATAACTTTTGCCGACCAAAAATGGATTTTTAGCGACCAATTTTTTGGTCGGCAAAAGTGTTATTTCTTGTAGTGCATAGTCATCATAAATAATTCAATTTATCATTTTCAATTACTATGTTACCTATCACAAGAATTATTTTAAAAATAAAATCATGAGCTGACATACATACGAGAAGCATGTACAATTTGATTAACAAAAATACGAAAAGCATGTACAATTTGATTAACAAAACAATGTAATATGTTCTCAATTCTCAAACAAAATCTGTTTGAAAATAATTTATCCAAACAAGTTGTCTAAATAAACTTGAACAAAAATTAACACAAAGAATATCTGTACAAACTATTAATAAGGAGTATATCAAAAAAAAAAACAAGGAGTTATGTGCTAAAAGCAAATAGTAATAGTAAACAACAAAGGCAAAACCATTCTGATTAAATAAAATCACAAAATGTCAACTCCTAATTTGTTGAAACGAAAAATGAGAACTGTTCTGGTTTGTACTGTAATAACCCTCACGCTATCCTAACCATACTCATATGCATTCATGTGATTTTGTCTTGTAAGCTTGCGTTTCAAGTCTTGTCCTTGTTCGTTTAAGTGTTACAGCATGTTTTGTACTTTGCTTGATAAGAGTTTAGCCGAGCATTGCTCTTATGGACCACTTGTATTTTTAATTTATTTCTTCCGCACCTGTGAGCCCTATATATATATATATATATATTTATACTCTGTTGTGTATGAATTTTGAAAGTTGGCCATCGGTAATCTCGGATTACTGGCCATCACGGCACTAAACTACTAGGGGCGGTTTGGGGTCGTGACATGTACAATGCATGTATGCAAAGTTAACACAAAATTATGTAAATTTTCATGAACTTAAATAGGTAATATCACAAGAATGCATAAGTTGAATACAAATTCACGTAAGTTCGTGAAAACTTACATGATTTTGTGAATTTGTATTCAATTTACGCATTTTTATGAGATTATTTATGTAAATTCGTAAAAACTTACATAATTTTGTTGTAAGATTGCATATATTGTGCAGTGGCGACTTCAATAATTTTTTTAGATGAGGTCACCTTAAAAGTTTAAGTTCTACAAATTTTAAAAACAAAAACTTTTAAATTTAACATTACTCTCTTTTATTTTGAATTTTTAATATATATATATATATATATATTGTGTGTTTTGTTACCTTTAGTGAATTTTTTTTTCTTATTTTAGACAATTTTTTAAATACACTTAAAAAATAAAATATTTGTAAAAAAAATAATCTTTTTAAATAATATTTCACCAAAGTATATCTAGATTAGTAAAACTAAAAAGTTAAAAAAAATGAAAAAATTGAAAAAATACGCCAAAGACAAAAGAAACACATAAATTAAAAACTTAAAAATTATTAAAAATCCGTTAACAGTAAATCTCTAATGGATGTACATTACTATTTAATGGAATCCTTTAATTTTTTAAAAGAATCAAACCACATCAAATAAAATATTAATAATACAAATAAAAATTCTTTTGAGATTTTTGTGTTTGGTTGATGAGGCATGAGACTCATCACCTATACTGCCGTCGTTCCTGACGGTGTTCATTGAATTCTTCTTCTTCTGATTATATATTTTTGGGGGTTTATTACACTTTTTATCTCTAAAATATCGTCAAATTATATATTTAGTCCATAAACTATTGATTAAGTCTACTAAATCCCTGAAGTATGTAAATCAAAGTCTACTTAGTTACTAGACTATCAATTAAATTTATTAAGTTTATAAATATTTAATTCAAATTTATTTAGTCCTTAAAAGAATTACAAAAATAAAATATAAGTTCATAAGTATTATAAATTAGTAAATGACCTTAGTTAAAATTTTATTTCAAACGAGCTTTAAATATTTTAGTGGGTCAAGGTTATTCACCATCTTTGTGGATAACCTACCTTGGGCCATGAATCCAAAGGAGTTGTTCTCACTTTTCATGAAGTTTGGGGTGGTGAAAGATGTATTTATCCCAAGCAAAATGTGAAAGATTACCAGATCAAGGTTTGGGTCTGTTAGATACGATTGTCCAATTGTTGCGAATGTAGCAATACAAAAAGCCAACGGTCTATGGTGTGACGACAAAGCATTACGAGTAAAGAAAGCAGAGTTTGAGAAAACACAAGGAAACTTAAAGGATAACAGTAATACGAAGAATGTAGGAGAGGTTGGGGAAGAGGGCAGGATTCTGAGGGAAGAAATGAGAGATTAGCAACTAAGGGGAGAATAGGAATTCAATCTTATGCAGAAGTGGTACATCAGGGGAGCACAAAGGAAATAAAGGACGAGTCATAATGGGTTTTAAAGTAGGAAATGGATGGCTATACAAAAGTATTGTTGTCAGACTCAAAAGATATTTTGTTTTTTCAGACTTTCAAAGTAGTATTCATGAGAAAGGTTCCAAGGATGTCATGGTAAGGGAAGGGGATGGCAAGATGGCTGTGGTGACGTTTAGATCAAGTGAGGATAAGAAGGCATAATTGGTGCAATTGGAAGATTGTCTCAATGAATGGTGTAAATTAGTGTCAGATTGGGAACATGGGGTACACCTTGATCAAGAAAGGACAGTGTGGCTAAGTTGCTATGGACTGTCTCTGAATTTATGGAGCAAACATACCTTTAACAAAATTGGTAGACTGTGGGAATATATGATAAGTGTGGATGAGGAAACAACCAAATGATTGTCTTTCAAGTGTGAGAGAATCAGGATTGCAACAAAGGTGATGAACTTCATTAATTCAGTGATTCATATTAAGTATAGAGGCATATTTTATCCACTTAGAGTGTGTGAAGAACAAGTAGTGGTAATGGCGATAGCACAGGGTAAGATGATGTTGAGGTGGCTGCCACAATACAGAAGGGTATGGACACAGATCATGAGATAGCAACCATCCAAAGGGATGAGTGGGCAACCAAGAAGCCAGAAAAGATTACCTCTCACCTATATGATTACTCCTTTTTTGTAGTCAAAGAGATGGGTGGTGTGGGATTGGGAAGCCAAATTGTAGTCCAAGCATGTAATGACATTACTGCAAGGACTTTGAAAGATCACCAACCCATTAATGAAGAGAGAGAGAGAAAGAGAGAGAGAGACGAAGGTAATGAAGATGTCAACGGTTTCATAGAAAGTTTAAATAGAAATGGGCTTTAGAACCATGGGAATGATTTAGTAGTTATTTTGAGTGGGGTCCAAATTGATGGAGGAGCTTGAGAGGCCAAATGGTAATGTGTTGGGCCAAGATGGGATGGGCCTCACTAATATTGACCCACAAACCTAAGGTTGTAGGACATCAGTTTCAAATGTTTAGGGCAATGGGGCACCATATATTCAGCCCACTTTTAAACTTAGAAAACCAAATTGAGGTAAGGGGAAGGTATATCAAAATATCCAAGGCAACATAAGAAAAGGGGGTTCATCATCAAAAAGAAGGTTGGTTGATCATCAAAGGAAAGATAAAGGAAAAAGAAGCACCAGACAATGTGGAGCAGCGGTAATGGGAAGCTAGAGTAAAGGGGTTGTGTTCAGAACCACAGCTGGATAATCTTTAAGATCTGATTCTAGTGGAAAAGGCAAAAGTAATGGGAAATCATCACAGGAGGAGGCAAATGCAACAGTGCAGCTGGGTAAAGCTCTAGGAATCTGTTTTAGGAAAAATGAGGGAGAAGTCATCAAAAAATTAGTAACCATGGAATTCAATGATAAAGAAAAATTAGCACAGAGGAACATTGAGGTGCAAACGAAGGTTGTGGTGCAGGACTGATTGCACAAGCTAGGTGGTTATAGGTGTTATTCTCAGTTTTCCAATGAAGCTTATATCTTGAAATGTAAGGGGATTGGGTAGATCAAAGAAAAAGAGGCAGGTAAAACTATTTCGTAAGGAAAAATGAGCGGATATGGTTTTTTTCCAAGAGACAACAAAATCATATATTTCTACAATGTTTGTGAAGTTATTATGGCCTGAGGAAGATATGGATTTTATGGTTGTAGATTATGATGGTGCGACAAGGGGATTATTGTGCATTTGGAAAACAAATGTGTTCAATTTATCACGGTGCTGCTGTACAAAGAACTGCATTCTAATATCTAGTACTCTTCTACCTAATTTTGAGTGTCATTGTTAACATTCATGCACCTAATGATGTAGCCAAAAGGAGAAGGTTCTAGGAAGTTATATTAAAGTTGAATGATGATTTTGATAAACCGTGGTGTCTAGCTAGTGATTCAATGAAATAAGACACCTTGGGAGAGAGAAGAGGTTATTCTCAAAGAGATAAAGGCATGATGGAATTCAATCATTTTGTTGAAAATATGAAGCTCATTGATCGTCCTATTATGGGAAGACAATTTGAGTGGTGTAATTCCAATGAAGGTGAAAGGTGGAGAAGGGTAGGATTGATAGGGTGCTTATGTCTTCAGAGTGAGTGGGGAGATCTAAGCTAAAATTGTGAGGTTTGAAGAGAACATTATCATATCATTGCCCTT